CTCCACCCTCACTTCCCATCGTGTGCAGATGATGATGCGGGACACGGGAGGAAGGCATGGCTGCCATGGTGCTGCAGGGCCACCTGGGCAATCTGCTGTCACGTGCCATGGAGGCGGTAGGTGGCACTGCAGATGGGTGGGGCAGGGGGCAGAATGGAAGCAGGCGTGGCGGTTTTTGGGCACTCGGTGTCCAAAAGGTTCGCCATCACTGGTCTAACAATAGTGAACAGTGTGCTTAGAACTGGTGAGAGTATTGATCTTCTCTCTTCTACTCTGTAACTAAGTCCTTGGGAAAGATCCCCAAAATAAGAAAACCTCCGAAAGTGAAGGGAGAGGACTACACCCCCACTCCCCCATAGATGGAAGTGGTGAATTAACCTTTAAGGGGGAAAGAAATATATTGAAATCAAAGTTAAAATACTACAGTATGGATAAATCTAGAAATTATACTTTAAAGGTTTTGATGAAACTATAAAAATAATAATATTTTTTGTCTGAAAAAGCTGGAAAACAAACAACTACTGACACCTAGTGGAGAACTAGAACGCAAAACATTAACAACACTGACTCAGAAATTGGCAATATGCCCAGAAACAGAGTAATCTGTTCCCTTGAACTTTAATAACCTTCAGAAGACAGCTGGGTGGGAACAAAGAAAGAATACATATTGGGCCAGCCATAAGATTAAAAAGAATCTGAAGGAAAAGAAATACTCTGACTGTTGTCTAAACTCAAGAATTGTTTAATTCCATAATTAGTATATTAATTAATAGTATATTTCTTTGATCTTCCCTTCTCCCAATAGTATTCTCCTTCTTCAACCTTAATCAGATATAATTCTTAATATTTTCAATGCATAAATGATTAAATATAAACTTTTTTTCCATGTTTGTACAAATAATAACATCCATGTATGACATTTTTTCTTATCAACTTGTGTTGTTTTTATAAAAATCACCTTATTAATTCACCATATATCCTATTTTCATAATTCTTATTTAAGCTTAATTTCCCCTTAATGTTCAAACAATTCTTATCAGTCATAATTTTCTCAATATTAATCATCTAAATATCCAGATATCTATTATCTATCTTATGACATCTACCTATAACATCTTTTCTGATCAGTTTATAATAATAATAATAATTTTTCTAAACATAATTTGTAATTTTTTATAATGAATAAAAAGTGAAAGAAGTCTTACTTTCCAATATTTTTAGGTTACATGAACTTAAAATCAGAAGATATAAAAATTACAGTACAGCAGTACATAGTAGCAGACACTATAGCTAAACATTCATACCTCCTGATAAGGTGTATATAAATGAAATAAATACATGAAACAATTTCTTGAACCAATAATAGTAAATAATAGATGTTATTATATTTAATAATTTTATTATAATTATAGTCTGCATTTTTTATTTAAAGCGTCCAGCAAGGTGAATATTGTGAGAAGTTAAATTCAGTTCTCCCTAGATACACATCAACTGGGTAAATATGGTTGGACACTCTGTTTCATTCTATTAGCCACACAAAACAAAATAGTTGGTTGACAGAACATATCTATAATTGCATGCACACAAACACAATCCCTATTCAATGATGTGGGCTGTACTAAGGTCACTACTGAGGGGAAGTTGAACTGAAGACAGACCAATCCGTATCAAGATCTAGCAGTCAAATCAATTATCTTAGTCAAAATAACTGGGAAGAGGAAGAGGGACTTCAACCCTATTACTTCCTGAGATCTTGAGGAAAGTTCTGCTGAGTTATGCAATGCAACTCCTGACAGATTCTCCATATCTCCCTAAAGAACCATTCAGCAGACTACTAAAAACCTAAATCTGTTATAGAGCTGTGAGTGCTAAAAGGGTCAACATTAGCTATTATATTTCCACCACAACAAGGGTAGCCAAAATGCTGGTGCAGCAAAAGGAAATGGGGAAATTGATGGGGAGAAAAGTTCAGGCAATTGAAGGGTACACATATGGTTTACCACTTATCCATCACATACTCTTACTCTAACTCAGTGATGGCAAACCTTTTAGAGACTGAGTGCCCAAACTGCAACCCAAAACCCACTTATGCATCGTCGAGTGCCAGGTGGGTGTGGCCCATTGCATGGGTGTAGCCCATTGGTTGGGCGTGGGTGCAGTGGTAATGGCAGACTGGGTGGGACTAAAAAGTTCAATCAATCAATTCCAACTTTGCAAGATCTTTTTGCAAGCTTTTTGCAATTGCGGATGCCTTTCAGCCTAGAATTGCAACATTGTGACACGTGACACTCCTGAGGCAGCTTAAGGGGGGAAAATGGAGTTTGTGTTTCTTTATTTTCTTGCTTTGCACTTGATTCCTGTGTCTTTAAGGGTACGGGGAAAGGATTGGGGGGGTGCATTCTTATTACACTGTGGAAGAGCTCAGAAGGGCAAACCAGCTAGCTCAGGAGTCCACAAACGTAGCAAATTTAAGACCTGTGGACTTCAACTCCCAGAATTCCTCAACCAGCCATGAGGGCTGAGGAATTCTGAGAGTTGAAGTCCACAAGTCTTAAAAGTGCCAAGTTTGAAGACCCCTGAACTAGCTGGTAGTGGTATATATTAATACATTTGTCAGTGCAAAGGGAAAGTGATTCAGCAAAGGAACAGCCACCAAAGAAATTAAAACTGGTACTTTTTAAACTTTTTTCTACAGTTTGTAATATTTTATTAGATTATAGAATAAAATACAAAAATACAAAAGCAAATAGTAGGACACAGTGGGGAGGAAAAAGGGGGGGAAATGAGTGGGAGAAGGGAAAAAGAACATACTTCCTCTGTTGCAGTAGAAGGAAGCATTAACATTGAACCTCAAATATTTACTTTTCCATAATATTATAAACTAGCCATTTCTATGACAACAAATGAATCTAATCAGTAAAACCCAAAATTCCGCTCCCCCTTTTTTTTTTAGTCATCAAGTTTTTGACACCTTGCTAAGCACTGGTGGTACTTAAATATTGTCATGTCCTAAAGTGGTACAATCTGTGAAAAGGTTGAAAAGCCCTGTTCTAGTCCAACCCTCTGCTCAGGCAGGAAGCCCTATAGCATTTTAGACAAATGGTTTTCCGTTTTTCAACCATATTCACAAGAATAGTTAAGATTATCTAATCCTTCATAAAGACGTAGAGTGCTGTGTTGAGCTCACAAACTTCTTTACTCCTTCTCTCTCAAGTGTAGCTTGACACATATGGTTTGAAACTACTAAATTTCATTAGTACAAATGAAGTTAGGAAAACTACATTTAAAAAATGAGACAAAAAAATAAACATATTTTTGATCCTTGCAATTGCTTTAAAGTAACTAAAATTCCTTCCCAGATTGAATGCAATTATGACCTTAAACAGTATGCTGCCATCTATTACAAAGTAGCCTTTTTGCAATGACAGACCAAGCAAGCTGAGAAGCAAATTGCAGTTAGAATTCTAGTCTTACAACATTTATATTTAATCTAATTGTGCCCTCTACTGGCTTTAAAGTTACAGGACAATAAGAACAAAAGTAACAGTATTAATCATTTTTAAAAAAAATAAACAAACTTCTACAATAGTTATTCCACAGAACAATTAAACAAGAGTTACTCAAGTTCTAGTATCCAGTAGTTTTTCAACATTTATATAACTATATGCATTTTATATGTGTGTGTGTGTAATTTTGTTTTATCCAATGATTCTCAATCCTTGACTTGTTGGCAAAAAAAAATGGCTTTTTAATTTTAAATTGATTTTCCAAATGTACCAGTTGCAAATCTGTATTTTTGAAAAGGAATTCAAGAGACCATTTCAGCATATCTCTCATATAAAAATTATTTCATTGCAATATATGCCTCTCACATTTAAATTAGGAAACATAATTATTTCTTATTTAGAAACAGGCCGTCTTGTCAATTAAGTTTTTAGACAACAAAGTAGGAAGTAAGTAGTGCTTTGATTACTGAAATAATAAGAATAATTAATAGGTGGATAAAAATGCCAAATATAATCTAAACATATGGATGAGTGTGCAACCAACCATAATAATAATAAATCATAACATTGTTCAAATAAATCAACGCTCAACACTGTCCATATATACAACAAATGGAGTTTGAATTGGATAAATGTGCCACTTTTACTATCAGTGGAGGAAAATAAAGAAAAATAAGGGAATGAAGATAGCCTATGGAAATAAAATTAAAAGTCTGGATGAAGATGTTCATTACAAATACCTGGGCATCCTTCAAGCTGACAACTTCAAGTCAAGATGAAGATTATAAATGAATACATTGTGAGTCCAAAGAAGATTTTAAATCCAAACTATTAATTTCTTAATAAGTCTCACAGTTTTCACTAAAGCTTACTTCTGAATATTTCTGAATTGATTCTGCTGGATAAGCACTATCGTATGCACACAAATGGAAGTTACCTGTTTTGAAACTGTGGTATTTCTTTTGTGTAAAAATGCATAAAACATCAAGGACTAAGCTAGATGTGATGTCCTGACTGTTAACAAAATAGCAGGTTATGACACTTAGCACAGAATGAGAGTGTAGGCTGGTGCCTCAAATGTTTTTCCTGTATCTGGAGAGGGATTAAAAATAAGCATTTGTTTCATGACTCTATGTCCCTCCCAGTCCTTCAAAAACCCAAATGCAGGTTTGGAAACAAAAGAGATACTGCCCACTGTTCATCTGAGGCTATGCCTGATGGGCCTTCACTCCTGAAATTGCTATGGATAATTTGTTTCTCCCATTCACCCATAAGCAAGAATTAGATGAAACTGGTAGCACTGTTCAGTATTTTTCACATCCACAAAATGTACTGAAAATATTCATCAATACACAATCTTAGCTTAATTCAGATTGTTATAGACAAGGTACAGATTATATTTTGTTTAAAATAGCTTTAAAAAAGGCTTGAAAGGAGCTTCAATCATTATATAACTAATAGTCAATTAAAGACATTTATATTGCAACACATTACCTTGACAGTTTTATCCATAGAGGCAGAAAGCAACATATGGCTCCATCTCTGCAGAGGACACCAGCAAACTGCATTAATTGGTCCACTATGCTCAGCCATGTGAAACACCAAGTTCTTTGGAATTTCAGTAACTGCATATTTTGATCCTATGTATGGCATAATATATTGAGAAATTTTAACTGTCATTTTATCTTCAGCTGTACTAAATTTAGCTGAAGAAGGTACGCTTTCTTTTTGGTATTCCTTTTTTTCTTGTCGCAGCTTTTTTGAAATATATGGTCTCAGTTTTTGAATAGTTACATCTCCATCATTATGCATCCTCTTCTGAGCATATGCATTTCCAGAAGGTATTTTATGTTCCAATAAAGGATGTAATGGCTGGGTATACTTAGTTCTTGTTTTTGTCAAAGTTGCAGGGTACAATTTCTGTGGTACAGCTGCTATTACAGTCTTTTCATTAGGTTGTAGATGCTGTTGAAAGATATCCTCATAACACATGTTCTTTTCAGAGCTGCCCATGTATTCCACAGATTCGACTTTTCTCTCAGAAATAATATTTAAGTCATCACTGGGCTGAACAACATCCACAGCAGAATTTGTTAGATTGATTTCACTGCTAATAACATCTCCGGATCTCCCAGTCTCTGCTTCAGAATCAGAATCATCATAGGCAACAAGTGAAAAACTCATTATGTGAACTATAGGGTGGGGGGGACCGCTGAAATGTACGTCTTTGGATTCTCATCAACAATGAGTACTTTCTGTAATGAAAGGAACAAATACAAACAGTCACTTTAAATAATTCTGTTTCATCTCTTTTTTACTTACAAAAGTCATCATAATTTATTTCTAAGGTTTAAAAATATTTGTACTTTTAATTTCTTAATTGGTGTATTTTAATTTATTTAATTATTAAATAAATATATTAAATAAATCATTATTTAATTGTTCAAGTTATATGCTGTCAAATTTGCATGGACTCAGCTTACAGTCAAAATCAGATATAAACATCTACAGCCGCAACACATATAAACATCTGTAATAATGCATTTAGGTATTAATATCCACAGTAAACATTAAAATAGCTATATAATAACTATAATACCTATTATTAAATATTAAAATATCCATAATAAGATAAAAGAATCAAATGATTCAGAAATAACCTGACTAAAAACCCCTATGAAAAATGCATATATCTCCATTGGGAATTAGTATCAATCAAAAAAAGAATAATTTAGAACAATTCTGTCTTCACAGGTCTCTCAGAAGACCTGTACTTTACCATACAATCTAACATTTAGAGAAAGACTGCTCTATAAAGTTAGTGCTAATATAAAGCAGCATTTTCATTTTAGCATCTGACTTTGCAAAAAATGCAGAAGAATCAAAAGTCTCTCCCTCCTTGATTATACAGGGCACGTTAATTCTAACTCAAGAAGATGGTCTTAGAGATGCTATATAATCAATAAAATGTTAGTCTCAAAATACTAATTTGGCTGACATATTGCCTTTTCCCAAATAAGATAATTTTACTCATTTGCTGAATAAAAAAACAGTCATGGAGCCAGCACCTGTTTTCCTAAAATGCAAGTAGAGGGCAATGTTCAGTTAAATGAACTGATACATCAATAGCTATGGCAGTGTGGATTCAGTGTGTCTAACAGTGTATATAAATATAAATTTTAGCTAATTAGCCTACTAGAATACAGAAACAAACATTAACAATTTGATATATGGGACAATACTAATTGTACCCCTATAGTAAAAAAAAGTCTTGGATTTAGAAGTAAACATGGAAAATGAAAAATCTGGGTTGTTAAATATTAAAAAGACAATCATATTAACTAGCATGCTTAGCTGAACTCACAGGTGACAGCAAAAATGATACTTTTGTTTTCTTGAGTTCAAAGATAAATTAAGTATTACAAAGAGTGCAGAGAAGAAGAACAAAGATGATTAGGGGATTTGGGGACTAAAATATACGAAGAATAGTTGGTGGAATTGGGTATATCTGGTTTAATGAAACGAAGGACTAGGGGTGACATGATAGCAGTGTTCCAATATCTCAGGGGTTGCCCCCAAGAAGAGTCAAGCTATTCTCCAAAGCACCTGAGGGCAGGACAAGAAGCAATGGATGGAAACTAATCAAGGACAGAACCAACCTAGAACTAAGGAGAAATTTCCTGATAGTTAGATATAATCAGTGGAACAACTTGCCTACAGAAGTTGTGAATGCTCCAACACTGGAAGTTTTTAAGAAGAGATTGGACAACCATTTGTCTGAAATGGTATAAGGTTTCCTGCCTGAGCAGGGGGTTGGACTAGAAAACCACCAAGATCCCTTCCAACTCCGTTTTACTGTTATAGATTAATGTGCTAGATAATTAAGGAATATCAACAACAAGCAAGAACTACTTAGGACATTTCACAAAAGTAGATGAGAGGCTAGAAAAAGCAACTATACTTGGCATGGCTGAAAGTAGAAGTAGGGAAGGCAAGGAGAAGCCAGCTCCTGCATCTTTTCACACTGGGTAATTTAGCAGGTGGAGGATGACACAGAATTAAATCACTGCTAATCAATCTGAAACTCTGTCTTCTTTGTATCCGACCAGTCTGTTTAAGAAATAGAGGCGTTTACAAAACGTGCTTCGGTACATGTATTTCCTCTCTTAGAACAGGCAAAGCCCGCTCTGGAGGTTAATTGTTACTAACTGCAACTGATGCCATTGAAACAGATCCTGAACGGCCGGGGACTAGCGAATAAGGAAGAAAAAAAGAAAACCTAGTCACTCAAGCCATTGACCTAAAGGGGGATCCACTTTACAGCAACACTACCTGAGAGCAGCCTCCTCTGACATCAGATTAGATCGCATTGCAGCGTGGCCACATCCTTTCCTCAAGAAAGCCACCCCTAGGAAACTCGACTTGGTCTCAAACGTTCCTATTTTACTCCCATCAGCATCATCCGTCTTTCTTCCTGGTTTGTGCGCGCTCTGTTTTATTTTATTTTATTTTATTTTATTTAAGAGAGTTTGGAGTCTCTGACAGACCTTCCCGCAGTGCGCTCGCAGGGGAAGGCTTTCGGTTTCTCTCCTCCTCCTTGTCCTCAGTTCCGGGCTAGGAACGCCTTTCCTGATCGGAAGACGATCAGCGTCGCACGAGCTATGCTCTAGCTGATGCAATGGGGCTGCTTCTGCTGGAGAGCCGCTGAAAGAAGTGGAGATTCCGCAGACAGGTAAAGTAAAGATGGGTAAAAGAGGTGACAGGAGGCAAAGCGGGGAGGCCTCTTGGTATCTTAAAAAGTCGGGTGGGGATCGGAGAAAAAGAAAGGGAGATCTTGGGGGGGGGGAGAGATTTCCGTGGGAGAAAAAAGAAAACCGAATCTAGGATTGGAGAGAAAAATCTGCTACTTCCGCCTGACTTTCTGAGTTCGGTGATAGGCGTTGTATGTATCTTTTGCTCTCCTGAAAATTAGCCCTTGAGTGAATACTACGGTAGTAGGCCATCCTGACCAGGAGGTTGATAATTAAAATTTCATTATTTAAAGGACTTTTCAAGTCTTCTCGTTGAAATGCATACAGTGGCCCTATAGAATATGCCACGACGACTGTTCCATCCATATTGCAGATTCAGCTGAAACTGAAACAGAACCCTTGCCTAACATTTTCTATTGAGATCTTTGCAGATGTAATTTTCATATGAGGGTACGATTTGGTTCCTTTTTCTCCTTTTTAAAAGATGCGTTCGTTTGCTATGTTTATATGTTGGTAGATCCTGGTACAGTCCAGCTGCAGAAAACAACAGAAAGCCAATATGGGAAGCAGCCCTTCTCAGAGCAGATTAATTCCAGCCCAGCTTTGTTGAAATAAACTGACAGGATGGAACCCTCTAGTCTAAAATATTTTAAATGTAATCACTTCCTGACATTGATTACAGCACTATTGCCTATATACTGTAACAGTATCATTTTTTTAAAAAAGTGCATTTACTAGTGTTTGGAACATGGCTCAATATCCCAAAACAAACAAACTCACTTGGAATTCCAAGAACAAAGCTTTATTTGGAAAGAAGCATTTGCAAAGGCTTGGTGGACTTACGCTTACGAAGGAGTCTTCAAGCCACACCTTAAAGAAATGTCAAACACACTTTTATACCCTATCCCCAAAGCAGATTCCCCCCTCCCCTATTGCTCTCAACACCCTTTTCTAAATATCCGATAAATTAATCCAAAGCACCTAAGTGCGCCAATCTCCCCCTTCCCAGGAAGCCCTTTTGTGCATGTCTACAGTCTTATCTATCATAATCTAGTCTTATTTAGTCGACTCCTATAGTTATCTTTATATTTTCTCTGTTTCCGGTTATGCCTAGCTTCAATTGACCTACTTACAATCTTTTGCTAGCCTAAGCTCTATCTTCAATTTTTGTGTTCCCTCTGCTTGTGGATTCAGTTAGCCAGCAGCTTCTACTTATCATTATTTGTGTAGAGTTAATTTGTCTGTATTACTTCCAGGTGACTTTTCTTACAGAATTTCATTAGAAATTTCTGATTAATAATCTACCCCTTTCACTAGTAATTGTGCTACTAATCTTATCAATAACCCTTTTTTGGCAACTATTCAAAGCTACAACATCCCTGAAAAAGGTGATATACAACCAGTCCTTGCACTTATGATTATTTCAATGCCTCCACAATCACGTGATCAAAATTCAGGCCTTAGCAACCAGCATGGATTAATAATGGTTGCAGTGTCCCAAAGTCATGTGATCAGCATTTGTGATTCTCCCCAGCTGACAAAGCCAATGGGAGAAGCCAAATTCACTTAATGACCATATCCTTCACTTAACCGCATTGATTCATTTAAGAGCTGTGGCAAAAAGGTCATAAAATCTGGCATCCCAGGATGACTTATTTAGTTGCCTTGCTTAGCAATCAAAGTTTTGGTCCAAATTGTGGTCGTAAGTCAAAGGCTACCTGTAAATAATTACCCTTATGTAATTCATAGATAGATAGATAGATAGATAGATAGATAGATAGATAGATAGATAGATAGATAGATAGATAGATACTAATATTTATTATTTGTCTTATAGAATTCTCCAAGCTTGCGGTTTTGAAGTTTCTGGATAAAACATTATGAAACGCACTTTAAATTAAAAATACAAGACTTTCCACACTCCTTAAAATGGCAAATATTCCAAATGAAAGCTTTTGCTCTTTTAAGCCACTTGAACTGTTTGAACAAATAGCAGCACAAGGAGAAAAAGTCAGATCACTGAAATCCAAGAAAGCATCAAAGGTAAAGCAGTACTTTATTAGTTGAATTTCCCTGAAAATACGAATCATTTCTGTGGAGTCTACCTATATAAACATTATTACAAGATAACCTTGTAATAAAACCGTGTCACTACGAAGTATTGAATTGGATTTTAGTGTGTGTGTGTGTGTGTGTAGGGGAGGGTGTTCTGTCATCGTGCCACCAGAATTGAATTTTAATTTTCTTGATAAAATATAGTGTTAGATCCAGAGCATTTTTTCTGCAAGCAAATGTGCTCCTTACATTGTTGAAAGTGATTGAAAACCATCAAAGGCTTTCACTGGACTAGTAAAAATATTCTCTGATTCAGCCTTTGCTCTGACCTTGTTCATCTCATCTACTCACAAATAGTACTTGGAAGAAATTGTCACAAACCAATGACTTACTTGACTGCCACCTGAATCAGACGTTTTTCTTATTCAAGTTTCACTATTAATAAAATGACAAAATGAGCAAGAACAAATTTAAAATTATAGGATTTATTCAGTGACGATGCAATGTGTAAATGTTTTGTTGTTTTCCTTAATATCTGTCTATAACTTATTTTCAATTGCTAAATCTTTACTGTAGATTTAGTAAAAAAAAAAATTGGACCTTCATAGTAAATGTTCTGCATTATCTTCTATAGATAAAATCAGTCAAATCTGTTCCAATCTAGATGAAATAGTTTTAACAGAATCTCTTAAGAGCTGTAACCAATGCATTATCTGTGCTAAGATGGATACAGTCTTACCTTGTACAACTAAAAGTTGTGAACTAGGATGTCCTTTTTGCTAAATCCAAAGAGATGAGCAGAAACAGTGGGGAAAAGGCAGTCCTACACTTGATTTAGGCTTAGTTCTTATCAAGAACAGCTGCTGTAAGCATCCAAGAAGAAAACTTGGCCTAATCTTGTTAGCCTTTTGTAAGTCACTGAAGACCTGTTTCCGCAGGCTTTCAGGCCTGAAAGTTTTGTTAATGAGGTGATTTTAGGATTAGAATGAATCATTTACATTCTGAACTAATGCTTTTCCCTGTTGGATTTTTAATCTTTGTGCACTATCCCAAACCATATGGTGACATAGGCATCATATTGTGAGACGGGCAGCCATATAAATTATATAAATAAAGTGTTCTGTAAAAATACTTGTTTTTTAAAGAAAGACATGATAGGCAGATGAAGCAATTTGGTTCTAATTGGAATATGCTCACCAAACTCTTTTTTTTTTTATTTTTATTTTTAACCAACAAGACAAAACAGAACAAAGCAACACATAACACACATACACACACAATATATACCTCCTTTTTTTTACAGCAATTACATAACGGTAATCTAATATTTACATTTCCCCCTTATTCTTCTTTAAATATTTGTCCTTATAGCCCCATTATTTCTTATTTACATTTTTCTTCCTTCATATGTACACATATTTTCACTTTTGACCTTTCCATATTTATTCTCCTCTATTATTTCTAGTCTCCAACCAGACATACACCTTGTTCCATACTATATAATACTCTGTGCCTTCCTTTTCTTTTATCTCTTTTGTTGATTTGTCCATCTCAGCACAGTCCAGGATTTTTCTTATTACTTCTTCCTCTGATGGTATATTCTCATTTTTCCAGCACTGTGCATATGCTATTCTTGCCGCCGTTATTATACGTAAAATTTAGTACCATATTTCTTTACTATATTTTCTATTTAAAATACCCAACCAAAAGATCTCTTGTTTCCAGTCTACAGGTTGGTCTATTATTTCTTGAATCCATTTTCTTATTGTAGACCAGTATTTTTTTGCAACTGGGCATGTCCACCATAGATGATAATACGTTCCATGTACTTTTTTACATTTCCAACATGTTGGCGAGTTATTCTGGAACATCTTGGCAAGCTTTGCAGGGCTCACCAAACTCTTAAATGGAATACTTATAATAACCTTTCCTTCTTTGGTTCCACTGTGCCCCTATGAAATAGATAAATATTTGTACCTGTTTTGCAAGTGGAAATAAAATGCAATAGAGGCCTTGAATGACGTGCTCAACATTACATAAGCAGATTGTTTGGCTATAGTTGTGGTTTTGAGAATTTTCTTTTGCCTTTTTTTGGAGGGGGAGGGAGAACCAGTTGTTTCATTCCCATACAGATTTTTGTCTTCACATTGTAATTTCTATGCATGCTAGATGTTGAGAACATTGAATATGTATATATGTATATAATTGCTAGGCTCAGTGTCTCTAAACTTAATTTATTTGAATGCTGTTGTGCTGTTTTATTATTTTATTCCCAGGATGAAATTGATGTTGCAGTTAAGTTGTTGCTGTCATTAAAAGTAACCTATAAAACAGCAACAGGTCAAGAATATAAAGCAGATTCTCCTCCAACAGATTTCACTCCAGTAAGTAATAGTCCAGACAATGCTGAAGAGGATGATTTTGTGGATCCCTGGACAGTGCAGACATCCAATGCAAAAGGAGTGGATTATGATAAACTTATAGGTGTGTGGGGTTCTATTACCTTAAAAAACATGTTTGTTTGTTTATTACATTTATATGCCGCCCATCTCACTGTCAAGTGACTTTGAGTGGCTTACAACATCATAAAAGTGAAAGTACAGAATATTAAAAACATTGAAACATTAAATAATATAAATTAAGATTAAATGAATTAGAAAGGGGAATTCAGTGCGGATGATGATGGGGATGTTATTTGAAATACAGCTTCAAGCTCTGCAGGTGGGATTTCATGAAAGTGTCATAGTTAAGATGCTAGAGTACATTGAGCCTTGATCTTATTCAACTAGTATGTTTCTTTAATATTTAAGATTTGCAAAGAAGCCTTAAGTTTCCTTTCCTTTTTAAATCCCAACTTTTATGGACAGCACTCTAGGGATGTTTTTTCAGTTTGGAATTTTTAAAATTATGATTATGTTTAGATTCTAAAAACCATGGGATGTGGCAGTATCTCTGGATTGGGGACAACAGACATTAATAGCCCATTTTTATGTTACTATTTAAGGGCTGAAACCAAATAATACACCTGCTGTAGAGTTTAACTAATCCTTCAAAAAGAAAAAAATTTAACAATGTCATATTCAGTAGATTTTACAGAATAAATCTTAAAATATACTGTGTATTCAGACATCAGGATGATTTTTTTACTGAATTATGAAGGTAATATAATAGATTGAAACAGGTATCTTGAAATCTAACTAATTGCATAAGTAGACATATTCTGTCAGCAAATATTTATTGTACAGTTAATTTTCAAGTCAAGATCAACTACCTATTTTATAATTGGAGATTTCAAGAGACCAATCAAATCACAAGAATCGTCACTTTTTGACCTTTCTCTTAGGTACTCATAATTTACATATGGTACAACCTTTTCAAACCATTTCAACTATTTTCCCATTTATTTTGTGAGGAATGGGGCTATATGATGTACTGTTTATTAATTTATTCACCATCATGTTTGTAATTTAGTGTCTATTTCTGTTGCTTTCAGTTCGATTTGGCAGTAGCAAAATTGATAAAGACCTCATCAATAGAATAGAGAGAATTACAGCACATAAACCACATCATTTTCTACGGCGAGGTATTTTCTTTTCTCATAGGTAAGTATGCTTTATCACTAGCTTATTTGAATCAGACAAAATACCCTTTCTAAATGCTTTTTTCATTCATCTTAATATATTGAGTACTGTTCTACAAGCATCCCTATGAGGAAACTAAAACTTGGAGCATGAAATGGAAATAGTGGTGAAATACATTCCTTGTATTTGTCTATGAAGATTCTCAGTCATCCAGATCATGGTTGTCCTAAAGGTGCTTTTTTTTTCACAAAAAAACCCCGTTTCGCTTCTCGTCCAAGAAGCTTCTTCTCATCCAAGAGCTGAAGTAGTTTCTTGAAGCGAAAGGTCTTCAAGAAAAACAAGGAAGTCCAAGCATTGGGATTCCTTGTATTTCAAAACTGGAATGTTGTTACATATATAAATTATGGCATAGTATCTTTTTTAATACAAAATAATCGCTGAAATGTGTTCATACTGCTGTCATTCATCTTTACATGACTAGGCGTTTCCTTAAAATCGTACAATATTTCCTCACTTTCCTCCAGAGATATGAACCAAATTCTTGATGCCTATGAACAGAAGAAGCCATTTTACCTTTACACAGGCAGAGGTCCCTCATCTGAGACAATGCATGTTGGCCACCTTATCCCATTTATGTTTACAAAGTAAGTAATTCTGATAAGTTGTGTTTTTTTTTATTTAATGCTTCGTTGTTTTAAAAGTAGTTAATCTCGGTGGCAGATGTTTACATTATGCTAAATGCTGATATCGGGAATTAGGACATGGATGTTGAGATCAATATACAGAGAAGTTTACAGAAGTATCATTTCTTTGTTGATCTCTCTTCTTGAACTTTGCTATACTCTCCTGAATTGTGTTTCTGTTCATGAAGAATATTTGCATCCAATTTTGACTTCAGTTTATATAGTGCTCCATTTCCAGAGGTACTTGAAAGATTTACAAGATAACAATATTGTAGAATTCAAAATTTATTAATCCAAAACTTAGTTAACATAATTAACTTGAGAGCACTCCTGTCAGGTGCTGCCTTATTCCAGAAATCAGCCATGTATATCAGTTTGAAACCAACATGAGTAATTTAAGGATTGGAGATAAGAGAAACAATTATTATTTGAAATTGTTCAGGCAATTTGTTATTTTACACAGGCAGGGCAAAGTATTTATTAACATCTATCAGCATGACTCATATATGGAATTTGGTATCTAGAGACATATGTTATGTCTAATGCTGCAGGAAAAAACCAGGTAATTCCCAAAATCTGAATATCAAACTTAAGTACTGTAATTGTATGAGTTGTCCAAAATAATTGCTGCTGTAGGAAAATTACATGCACAATTAAGCACAATAAAATCAAATATTAGAACCCAAGATACAAGGTAGAATATGATGAGAAGAAAAGTAATGTTTCAGTAATGTATAGTACTATTCATAGGGATAAACTAATTGCCATTACTAAATTGGTTTGTATTTTAAGAGGCAAGCTACTCCCATGCAGCAAGAGGGTACTACCATTCCAAGGAAGCATGGGCATCTCCAAGGACTGGGCAGGAAAATGACTGTTTGTCCTGGCATCATCACATAAATAACATGTCTAATGTACTTGCTTCAAGTGTCATAAAATAATTATGTAGTCATATCATTTACACTGTGATACAAAGATACATGTATCATGTTGATGTCATCATGGCTTGTTATACATATTGGTTAAAATATAAACTACTTCCACAATTTATCATATACATTTATCATATACATTACCACATTATTATTAGCATATCCGTAGGCAAATGTGCATCTACATACCAAGAGATATACTCAGTGCTTTTTTTCTAAAAAGAAAAAAAAAAGGTGCTGGAACTCACATACGTCATACACCCCGCCTTGCCTACCCTACAAGGTTCCATCCAAAAAAGCTGCCAGAACTCCGTTCTGGGCGTTCTATGAGAAAAAAAGCCCTGGATATACTCAAATAAATGTTGCCGACTGAGAAAATATTTCTCCAAAAGCTACAAAAATGATTGTAAAAATGTTTGTCAATTTGTAATTTGCATATCTCATAATTTAACTAGAAGTTCCTTGAAACGCTTGTTTTGTGTAAACTTGTTTTGTTTCTTACTAGGTGGTTACAAGAAACATTTAATGTTCCATTAGTCATACAAATGACTGATGATGAGAAATATTTGTGGAAAGATCTGACCATTGAAAAAGCTTACCAGTATGCTATAGAAAACATCAAGGACATAATAGCCTGTGGATTTGACATTAATAAAACTTTTATCTTTTCTGATTTCTCTTATATGGGGTAAGGATCTTATTTTTTGATAACTAAATGATCAAAATTCATCATTTTGAGGTCATATTAAACTGTCCAGATAATATTAAATTAGCCATGTTGTTAAACTAATATTAAGCAATACATTGCTCTGGTGCTTCTTTAACCAATTTTCTTTCAAGAAATCTAATACATAATATGGCATGTATCAGTTTTAGAAAGAACACTGCTTAAAAAAAGCTCTTTGAGATAAAAGCCAGCATAAAGAGTATTCTTTACAGAATAATTCTGTTTTTGAGTTATTGCCATTAAAAGTATGTTTGATAAATCTGCATTTCTTTATCATACTAAGGAGCCATTTGAAAAGATTCAAATAATCATGGTTGAAATATAATTCTTATGTTTTATTGCATTAGGGGGAACAAACAGAGCTACAACAACACTTGGAATTCTTTCAGCTTTAGAAAAAAACAATATTTTATTAAAAGAAAAACATTCTTGAATTGGGCTGTGTTTATTGTTTGACTATCTTGTGGTTTTCTACAGAGTGTTAATGTTCTAGGATTGCAAACTTAGAAGGTGTAATATATTACACTGCTTGAATTGACCTGGCTCAATTCCTGGAGTGCCCTTTGCCAGGCTGCATTGGCCTGATGGACACAGCAGAATCAGTTCTTATAATGTCTTGTGATAATTAGTAGCTCTGGAGGGCGAAAACTAAAGCAACTTTGGTTATTGAAATCAATTGGTGATCCTTTATCCATATGAAAATCAATGGAATGAAATAGTATTACAATTCTTTGCGGCTTCAATACAGTATGAGAACAGACTAAGTCTGTATAAGCTTACAAGTACCTTTATACTAAAGTGAAATCTATAATAAAATAATGCTTCATGAAAAAGCTAATTAAAGTAGCTTAAATTTTATTTAAACCTAATTCTGAATACAATATGTATTAATCATCCATGTTTCCTCATAACCTGATTGCAATATTGACTTATGAGCATTCTCAAGAAAACATTTTTCTCTGTGTTAAGATTTGGGATTTTGATTTCTCTGCCCTTTTCCCAGGACAAGTGTTGGCTTCTATGAAAATATTGTTAAAGTTCAAAAGCATGTGACATTTAACCAAGTGAAAGGAATCTTCGGTTTTACAGATAGTGACTGCATAGGTGAGTTATGATAGAATTCTATTGACTAATTAATACAAGATATTGGAAACAAAAACTTACCTGAAGTTCTGGTTAAAAACAAAAAACAAAACAATGAGATACAGTGCCTGAATCTTGGACTAATGCCAGGGACAGCAGGTTCAAATTTTACTTACCCATGGAGAATCGCACAAATAATGAACTTTGCTTTTATGCTTCACAGTATTTTTCTGAAGATAAAATTAATGTAGAAACTATCTTCAGCTTTTGGAAGGGGTTGTGAGAGTGGATATGAAATAAAAATGTCATAAGTAAATTCACTAGAGGCCTCTTTGTTTTATAAGGATAGTAGTTGTAGAGATATACATTTGTTATAGTTGTAATCTAGATAGATGGAGAATTTGAGATATATGGCTGAACTATAGCTCGCAGCATCTTCAGACACCCTTACTAATGATGATGGTAGCTGTGAGTTTTTCCCTCCTGTACTTGAACTGGGATATTGTCATTTCTCTTTAGGTAATGTTTAGACAGCTAAAAGTACGGTGTACAGAAAAGAAAAAGAATATTTGAAATGGTTCCAAGATCATAACATCAAGTAAAAATCACTGTTACAAAGTAACAACTATTTACATAACAGCTCCAATTGTGATGTTTCAAATTACTATTTAAGATTTTAAAATATTTATTTGCTCGCATGTTGCCTGTTAAATGTGTAATTCTGAAATATATTTATATACATTTTTACATGTAATAAGTTATTTAACTTTAGGCCTCTCATAACTAGCATTTCTTATAACATTGGCATCTAATTTCTGTATTTAACCACTCTATTTTTCATTATGTTTTATTGAACAAATGAGTATTTTATGCTCTCCTAGGAAAGATAAGTTTTCCTGCTATTCAAGCAGCTCCATCCTTTAGCTCATCATTTCCAGAGATCTTCAACAATAGGAAGGATATCCAGTGTTTGATCCCATGTGCAATTGATCAGGTAAGAAAGTTGTCTGAGATGTTTTAAACAGCTTCCATCAGATCCATTACATCAGGGATGTCAAACTGCCGGCCCGCAGGCAGGACGCGTCATCCGGAAGACGCGCCCATCCCATTGCCGGCAATGGCAAAATTGGCCTGATATGTTGCACGATGTCACGTGACGTTGCGAGTTTGACACCCTTGCATTACATCCATTACATCAATTCCAAATCCGAGCGTAAACAGTAGAATTATATATACATATATACATATATACATATATACATATACATATACATATACATATACATATACATATACATATACATATACATATACATATACATATACATATACATATATATATATATATATATATATATATATATATATATATATTCTGCAGATCTCTAGTTGCAGCTTGCCTATCATCCAAGCTTCTGTCCTTTTTAGACAAGTTAACTTAAGGTTTTCCAACACTTTGTACCATTTGTAGTGCTCTTCCTTTCCTGACCTACACTATAGCAATTCTTTCTGTGATGCTTTTTGTTCTGGGGTTTTTTTTTCTGTTTTTAGGATCCCTATTTTAGAATGACAAGAGATGTAGCTCCTCGGATTGGCTATCCCAAGCCAGCATTACTGCATTCTGTCTTCTTCCCAGCCTTACAGGGAGCACAAACAAAAATGAGTGCTAGTGATCCTAACTCTTCCATCTTTCTCACTGATACACCCAAGCAAATCAAAACAAAGGTAAGAGACCAGTACTGTACACAGGTTACATTGTACACTATTGAGTTCCAGCTCTACTTTTTTCACAGTTTTTCCCCAAAGAATGTTGTAGCAAATATTAAAAACTATATTCTTAAGCAGACTGAGCCTTAAATACTTCATTCGACTCGTGTGTCTTTGCACTGCAAGCTAAACTAACAGCAGTATTTAATGTACTAAGGATCCTCCAACTGACTGACTCTCCATGGCACCATGAAATCATTTTGTAGTGACAGTTGCTAGGCAAGTTATCAAGGTGTGTAATCCCAGTCTGCTTGGCTTTAAAGAGTGTGGGCTTTCCTCATCAGCCATGTTTTGCATATCTCTTGTAACATGCAATTGTCATACCCTGGAGGAGATCAGTTCTATCTTTCTATGGACATTAGCATAAAGTTATGTTTTATTATTTTTATCATTATAATGATGCAAAGGAAAATCCATAATACGTGTCTCAGCAACATATTGGTGGTGGGTGGAAATGTAACGCAGTTGTGATTAATAAGCTGTATTTGTTTTTGATTCGATGTGGCCTTCTTTGCTTTGCAATATCAGAATACTATATGTTACCTGAAGCTTATATGACATTTAATTGTAATATGTTGATTAATATTGAAAAACCTATAGATGCTGTTTATTATATATGAAGTTTACTTTATATAAAAGCTTTCCCCCACTTCTAATGCATGCACATATTCTTGTATCTTGCTCCAGATTAATAAACATGCTTTCTCTGGTGGCAAAGACACTGTTGAAGAGCATAGGCAGTATGGTGGCAACTGTGATGTAGATGTGTCTTATATGTACCTCACCTTCTTCCTTGAAGATGATGACAGATTAGAACAAATTAAGCAGGTAATTGCCATCTCCTTTGGAAATGTTTTGTTCATCTTGAAAAACTATCAGAGATGATCATCCTTTTTCAGTACCACAAGGGGCCAGATTCCTGAGCCAAACTATAAGATTTTTTTTTTCTTAAAGCATTTCATTGAGGCATCAGAATCTATTTTTCATCTATAAATTTAATATTGTTTCCTCTGAATGCAGCATAATTATTTAAAATAGAAGGTAGTTACTTTTTTATATTTAAATTGTGCCTTGTCCCCAAGATATTCAAGGTGGTATATGTGGCACTCCTCTCTCCCACTTTTTCCCACAACACTAGATGATTGGCCCAAAGTCATTCAGTAAATTTCTTATGTCTGAAAGTTGAATTCATCCTGTCTCTTCCCATTCCTGCTCTAGCTATAACACTGCACTAGCTAAGTATTTAGAGAGTTAAAAGGAACTTCTGAGTCATCAAATTGCACCTCCAATCCACTATCCTGTGCCTAAAGTATCCCTTTCTATAATATTCTATAAGACACTTGGAGGGAATGATATTTCTAGTTAAGAAAGCAGAGTGCTTTCCATGCCCACACAGTACCTTTTAGGAGATTAGCAAGAGATGTTATTGGATATGAACATTCCCTTTGACTGTGACATTCTTTGACAGGCTTACACAAGTGGAGCCCTGCTGACAGGAGAACTCAAGAAGGTGTTGATTGAAACACTTCAGCCCTTGATTGCAGCTCACCAGCAAAGGCGAAAGCAGATCACTGATGAAATGGTGAAGGAATTCATGACCCCACGGAAGCTGGCATTTGACTACTAATTCTACAATTGCATGTTAATTTATCAGCACATAAAGATCACATGTTTTTATACTTTGTTGTTCTTTTTTTGCCTTAATTATGTACAGGCATAAACAGCCCTGCTTGTAATTATTAAGTTATCCCTATTCAATTAATGGTTATATGGGGAAACCATGTGTCTGTACTTGACAAAAAAAATAGAAATTAGTTGTACATAATATTTGGACTTCATAGGTTAGCAAGGTAATTTATTTCCTGGAGAAGATTGTTCTTCCACAAAATACCTGGTTTCATGGAGCATGTTGATGGGAAGAAAACTGACTTAAAAAAGAATTCAACTCTGTGGAACATTTTTACATCAAGGAAGATTTCCTTTTTCATCTCTAACTTAATTTTTTTGTTACAGTGAATATATATATATATATATATATTCAAACATTTCATTATAGTAATTATGTTACTATCTAAAGTTATGAAGTGTTGATGGGTTTTACAGTCATAAGAATATTTATGATTGTTTTGAAAGACAGAACAGTTTAATTATTCTTTGAATGATAGCTAGTTGAGAAATAGTCAAAGTATGCTGAAATTTTTGCTGACTTTTACCAAATCATGATACATAGTATTTTTAACATAAAAGCAATTATATCCTAAGAGCAATATGAAATTTACCAGAGTCGAAACTACTCTCTTGTCTTTGTTTCCAAGCATCCTGAAGTTACATCAAACTATTCCATGATATCAGTGAAGTTTAGATCACAAAGGATATGTTTGTTTCTGTTTTGTATCAAATGATTATATTTCTAGTGTAATTGTTCAACAAAAAGTAATCTTCAGAATGTAGCTTGTTATTCAGTATCTCCTATATATAGATTCTTGGCTTTGGATGCAAACGTCAGTAATGATTCCATTGTTTTTCTTTTAAATAAAGTAATAGAATCATGAGGTGGAAAGAAATCTAGTCCAACCCCTGGCCCAGTGTAGGAATCCGCATACCATCTTAGATAAAACTATCCAATCTTTTCTTAAAAACATCCAGTGATGGAGTACCTGGCAGGCTATTCCACTTCTTACCAAACTCTTACAGTCAAGAAATTCCTCCTTATTTCCAGTTTGGATCTCTCTTGGTAAAACAACAACTCATTTTTCCTTATCCTCAGATTTAAATTTACACACTTTGCCCCATTACATTCTTTTATATATTGGTAGACTGCAGTCATGTCTTCCCTTAACCCACTTTTTCTTATGCTAAACAGACCAAATGTCAAACTCGGGTGTCACATGATGTGTTGCGACATATCGCGATTTTTTTTTTGCATTGCCAGACCTTGGGTGACCGGGCCTCTGTATGATGCAACCGGTCTGTGGGCCAGCAGTTTGACACCCCTGTTTTAACCGCTCTTTGTAGGTTTTAGTTTCCATGCTCTTTACTGTCTTTGTTGTTGTTCTTTGTCCTCTCCAGTTCCTCAGCATTCTTTTTGATTTATGGCAATCAGAACTGCAGTATTCCAGATGCAGTCTGACCAGTGCAGCATATAGTATAGTACTATTACTTCTCATGATCTTGACATTATGTCTATTGACACAGCCAAAAAGTACATTGGCCCTTTTGGCAGCTGTGCCATATTGCTTAACCTGTAGTTTATCAAGATATCCAGATCCTTCTTACTGCTAAGCTAAGTGCAGAACCTTAACATTTGTCATCACTGAACATTTTTGGGATGGGGTTCAATGTTCAAGTTTTTCGAAGTCCTTTTGAATCTTTTGCCTATCTTTTGTAGTGTTAACTATCTCTCCCTTTGTTTCGTTGACAAATTTCATGAGTATTCTTTCTATTCCCTCATCTAAATAATTTATGAAGATGACAAAGAGTACTGGGCTCAGAACAGAACTCTGAGATATCCACAGCTTACCTCTCTTTATGAAAACATAGACCCATTAAGGACCACAAGTTGGCTACAGTCATTTGGCCATCTGCAAATGCATTTAGTAATGAGACCATCCATCTCACATTATCCCAGTTCAGGGGTAGGCAACCTTGGCTCTTTTATGACTTGTGGACTTCAACTCCCAAAATTCCTGAGTCAGCTATCCTGGCTCAGGAATTCTGGGAGTTGAAGTCCATGAGTCATAAAAGAGCCAAAGTTGCCTACCCCGTCCCAGTTTATCAAAAAGAAGGTAATCTAGGAAAGATTATGAAAAATCAGATGGGATTTCTCTGCTGATCCAAAAATGTTTAGATCAGTGTTCTAGTATTGATGAATCAGGGAACAAGAGTCCTGATTTGAACTTGAAAGAAGTCAATAGAATTATTCTATGCTCCTGTTGCCTGTGTCTTGAGATTTTTTTTTTAAAGTAGCAAATCCTGTGAAATAACAAGTGTATATATCTGTGCAAAGCAATGTATAGGAAGTGAGATTGTATAAGACTGTAAAGTTTACATCTCAGGAAGACTCCCTACTCCATACATATTTGCTCACATTATTTCTATGCATTATCAAGGCTATTTGTGTTCAAAATTATTCTGCATACCTGGTCTATTCTCATATAATTTTGTGGTAGGATATATTTTATTCAACAAAGGCTGTATGATAACAGAATTTTACTTTATTCCAGCTTAATTTTTTTCTACTTCAGTGGAAAAAAAAATACTTTTCAGGAAAATAGAGCATTTATGCATTAAATCTCTGCAAAATCCATTCATTAATATGCATTAATTTGGGAATTGATTTTATATTTATTTTCCCCCACTCCTCAATTACCTGTAATTGGAATTAGGAGTGATTCTAGATTTGCTGAGAAAAGTAAAAGCCCTTGGAAACTAGAGAATGGGTGGCAATGTAAATGGCTTCAGGGCAAATTAATCTGAAGATTGCTCCTACCCCTTCAAAGAAGCTATTTTTGTGGTAAATTTAACTCTTTTTATAACACAGGATCTGACTCTACCTTTTCTTTCTCTCCAGTTGACTCTTGCCTTCTCTCCATCCAGTTTTGTTCCCCCACCCCCCTCAAAAATCAGTTCTCTTCTTTTCCCTTCAGTTTTATTTGCATGCTGGGTTTGGAGTAGGTTTATTATTTTGGTTCTTTTTTGCTGGAAAGAGAGGAGAACAGGTGTGTTATATGTGAAAATATAAAACATGGAAGCAATTTTCTATATGAGGTTATTCTGTTAATATAAACTTACCCTATCAACTTTTCTGAACTGTAGATTTTGACACACATACTATATATAAGGGTATCAGATGTATTTGGCAAAAATAATCTTTAGGACTGCTTTAGCTGAAATTGTCAATCATAGGCTGACTAGATATAGAAGTTGGAAATGTGTAGAGCACTTCTTTTTTTTTCTTTGTGTGGGATTGTCTGGAAGATTATCTGAAATACAGGTTCCTCCTCCTTTTGAGTAGGTATGGTACACATTAATAACTTGGAAGTTTCCCTAATTACTTATTGTACATCTAAAGTTACAACAACAGCAGCTTTGGGGCAGGAAAAAGGAAATTGGTATAGTTGAGTAAATAACGAGTTTTTTTCTCCATAGAAAACTTGGAGCTTTTGATATAAATCTGACATTGCATTCATTAGGGTGTAGATTAGAAGATAATGCAACAGAGAAAAAGACTATAAACTAAGCTAAACAACTGCAGTTCCATATGTGTGTGTGTATACGCATGCATGCATACATACATACATGCATACATATATACATACAACACAGAGAGAATTGAAAAGAATGTGTCCAGTATACATTTGTGCATTTTTATTTTTTTCCCTTTTTCAGTAGTACAATTGTTAAAAGTCCCATTTAAAAATAACAAAAAATTACCATACTCAATCATTTCGTTGAACAATTTAGTAATAAAGAGAATTCTTTGGTGGTGTACAATAAACTGTAAGATCTTGTGGAACAAGATACTTTCATATGAATACCAATTGTACACAAATGTGTGCATATTTGTTGTCAGTATCTTCATACACACATACATATATACATACACATGCACAAATGCAAATAAAACAGCTGTAAAGTTCTTTAAATTTGCTAGTGTGCCTCTTCTTAGTTTTTAGTCAGCTGCTTACACGGCAAGTTGTTGTAAATAGCAAATTGTTATACATAGCAAATATGCATGCTGTTTAGCCTGGTGGCCTCAATATACTGTAATATTGATACGGCTTCCTAATGTCAAATTCCTTAAAAATGTATAAGAATCACAATAAATTTTACAGTTTATACAACAGCATTTTGAATTTAATAAGATAGTTAAGGTGTACATGGATCCAGTTAAGGGTTTCAAAGTGATTCTTGTAAAAGATGCTTGTAAACTGAAAAGCATGAAACTTTTTTTTCCATATCTTGTGGATTATTATCAGAATCTGTACTGTAAACAGAAAATTAAATTAAATAGGTTTTGTTTGGCTGATGGCCTTGTGATTTTCCTATTTCTGAAGACATCTGTGTTTTATTAACAATGAATAGATCAAAATCAGTGCAAATTCTTACAATTCAGTATTTGGAGGTACAATGTCTATATCACTTGCACATTTTCTGTATCAACTTTAATAAGCAAGTTCCTAGGAGGTACAGCAGTCCACGTCCTTGTTTGTTTGAATAGAGGGACCTAAAAGGAAAATGTAATAGATACACACTTTAAGTAAGGTTTAAATTGTATCTGTTAGGAATTGGTTTGCTATAAATAGGAGAAAAGCTTTCTTTTAGAAAAATAGCTCAACAAAATGTAGCACTTGATGTAGCACATTTTGAGAGTTAGAATAGAAAGGACCTTGGAGGTTTTCTAGTCCAGCCCTCTGCTCAAGCAGGAGAACCTATACCATTTCAGACAAGTGACTGTCTGGTCTCTTCTTAAAAACCTTCAGTGATGGAATGCCCACACTTTCTGAAGGCAAGCTGTTCCACTGGTTAATGGTCCTCACTGTTAGGAACTTTCTCCTTGATTCCTGGTTGCTTCTCTCTTTGGTCAGTTTCCAACCATTGTTTCTTGTCTTGCCTTCTGGTGCTTTGGAAAATAGTTTGACTCCCTCTTCTTTGTGGCAGTCCCTGGAATACTGCTATTATGTTGCCCTGTTTCTTCTGTTTTTTTAGACTAGCCAAACCCAAGACCTGCAGCCGTTCTTCATGTTTTAATCTTCAGGCGTTTAATCATTTTAGTTGCTCTTTTCTGAACTTTTTCCAAGGTCTAAACATCTTTTTTGTAGTATGGTGACCAAAACTGGTTGCAGTATTACAGGTGTGATCTTACTAGAGTTTTATAAAGGGGTACTAACACTTTGCGTGATCTTGATTCTATGCCTCTGCTTATACAACCCAGGATTGTGTTAGCTTTTTTGGCTGCTGCTGCACATTGCTGGCTCATAGTCAAGTGATTGTCTACTAGGACTCCAAGGTCCCTCTCACAGTTACTGTTTTTGAGCCAGGTCTCGCCTAATCTGTACTTAAACCTTTGATTTTTTCCTGCCTAAATGTAAAACTTTGCTTTTCTCCATATTGAAACTCATTTTGTTGGATAGGGCTCATTGTTCAAGTTTGTCAAGATCTTTTTGGATCCTGAGCTTGTCTTCTGGGGTGTTGGCTATTCCTGCCAATTTAGTATCATCTGCAAATTTGATGAGCTCCCCTTCTATTCCCTCATCTCATTTATGAAGATATTGAAGAGTACTGGGCCTAAGATGGAGTCTTGCACTATCCCACTGCTTACTTCTCTCCATGTGGATGTAGTACCATTGAGGACTACTCGCTGAGTATGGTTTGTCAGCCAACTACAGATCCATTTGATGTTGTTGCCTATCCCACCTTTTTCTAGCTTACTAAGCAGCAGGTTGTGATCTACCTTGTCAAATGCCTTACTGAAGTATAAGTATACTATGTCCACAGCATTTCGCTAGTCTACTACTTTAGTCACTTTATCAAAGAATGAAATAGTTTCTTATTCTCAGTTCAGAGTATTGGTTCTGTCAACATTTTGCTTTCTCCTCATCAATTCTTCATCAATTTAACCAATTTGGACAAAGCTAATTCTAGATATAAGGAATCTCTTGCCAAAGTTTTTTGGGGCTGCTGCCTCTTATATAAATTGTTATGGTAGATAATTGTGAATCGGGTGGGGAGAGACTTCAGTTATTTCCCACAATGTCCCTCGCAGAGCATAGCATGGCATGGTATAGCTTGAGAACAATGTGGAAAATGAAAGGGTGTTCGGGTTGGATCTTGCAGGGGCACTGTTATCTCAGGTGATATTCAAGAAGTATGGTAATATCAATCCTAGCTCTGTCTACTGTTAAGAGAAAACAAAAGATTTAAAGTAGAGCAGAACTTCTCTTTTCTCTTTCTGTAGCACAGGGACCAGAGGTGATTTATATACATTTCTTGGACCGACAGCTATAGTTTCTTGGACCGACAGCTATAGTTGAATCACAATCCTAAAAAGAGTGAATCAAGCAGAAAACAAAAGGAGCAAGTCATGAGTCCATCTCCAAAACAGAATAAAAAAAGGAGATTGACAGGGCTACAATGCTTTCTCCTTCAGGAGCAGTAGATGCTAATAATGTAGAGCATTGATAGATACAGAGTGCCCCTGGGTAGCATTTCTCAACTAAGAAGTAGGCACTTCATCTCCTAGAATAATTCCTCAACCATACATCTTAAAATTGCCACAGTTGAGAAACATTGCTGTAGGATGGGGCTTTTCAACATGAAAATGTTGAACTTCTTGGAATTACAGTATATGAGAGACTAAAGGCAAAAAAAAGTTCACAGCCGATTTTCTGGGATTGTGGGAATTGTTTTTAACTTAATAGATCCTATGACCTGAAAGAGTTGGAAGAACCTTATTGTAGGTACTGTAGTTGGAAAAAAGGTCATAAATTCAGCCAAACTGTTTTAAAAAAAACAAACCCTGAACTTTTTAGGAAAAGAAAAAAGAACATTCTCTTTTTTAAATCCTATAATATTAATTTGACATTCTCACAGTTGGGTTCTTAATTTTCCCTTTTTGCTAGTTAGATATCTTTCGGATGGAGTGTCAAGAGTTATTATTTCAACAAAGTCTTCTTTTGCCAATCAAGTGCTGGCATTTTTGTGGGAGCCTTTCTGTACAGACAGGCACAACCATAGGACCAAACCAATTTTTTATCAGAGACCAGAGCCCTGATGGACCATTGTTTGCAGATGGGTCTTCTTTCTTCCATTTTGCATCTTTGAACCTTATGCTAATCAATTGTAATCAGTAAAAACAATTAAATGCTGTTTTACAACCTCTTACTTTGTTTTACTTCTTTCCTACTTGAATCTGTAAGCTAACAACAACTGCTAGCATTTCCCAAGCCATGAAGATATTTCATAGTTTTATGCTTCTATTTTCCATGACCAGACTTTTTAGATTTGGCAGTTGACCTATATCCTAGGTCTTAGGCCAAAGAAACGGGGTCCCTGAGTTGGGGCATTTCTGAGTATTTTCAGTTCAAGAGTTCATAATGGGTGAGCATCTGACGTACAGAAGTTTCCCTTCCTGGGTACTGAATTTATTTATACCCTTCCTGGGTACTTGAATTCCCTCCTAAATATGGAGGGGGGGGGAGAGTGAACCATAGTGATGAAGGTGGCTTTATTCACTGAGACACAATCAAGACAAATACAACACATAACACAAAACTTTTTATTTTTTAAAAAAATACCCAATTTTTATAGTCTCAAAATGTGCGTACTATTTGGATTGAGAAACAATCCTTTGACATGGAGGCTAGTTGTCAGTATTTCATAATTAAGTAAGTTGGCAACATAGTCATTGTTTAAATGTGTTGAAACCCTCCCTCCCCACCAATGATTTTTAAGCTTAGATGAGGTATAGACTACAATTGAAATGTTATCTTATTTTAACAGTGTCTTTAATCTTCAAGGAGTCATTTTTTAAAACATGTTTAGTCAAAAGAAAATACAGTCAGGACTGAGTTACAATTCTGACCCTCTTGGATTGATTAAAAGAATGAGCTACAGCAGGCCTTTAGCTCCTAGAAGATTAGTCATTTTTGTTTGTTTGTTAAATGTAGCACATTCTAACAATGTGAACCTCATTCTAACTCTTGTTCGCAATTATGGTTCATAAAATAAAGCATCCTAATTTTTTTCCCTCAGGCTACACACCCCCCCACCAGGAAAAAAAACTGTTGAGAGGTTTTAATGCACACATCCAGTTCTGAGATTTGCAAACATAAAGATAATTTATCATCACAAGAGTTTTCTGAAAAAGTATTTAAATAAATTGGCTTTAAAAATAGGTAATCACTTATAGAATGATGCTGAAATAAAATCTTCATTTCTCCAAACGTTTCCCAAGCCTAAGAACAACTTCATAAGTTAAGAATATCATCATATTTGTAGGAAATGCACGAAGCGAGTTTAGTCCAAGGCCTTTAAAAAGAACTCTTACTCCTTCTTCTCTTACGCTGTCTCTGACACAATGTATTAGTCCAGTATATTTATGCTGTCCATCACCATCTGCTTGCATTCGGGCTTTAATGACATCCATTGGGGTTGCTGTACCCCAGGCAAGAACACCAGCACAGCCCCCAGATAGAAGCACAACCCACAAGTCTGTAAACATAAGTATAAATAGCATGAGTTATCATTAATCTCCAAAATTATTAAAAATCCAAATGTTGGTAAAAAAATATCCCAAAATTTCTATTAACACTACTATAAGTACCTCAAAGAAAGCCATTTCTCCCACCTTAACATAGGAGGATTTCTTATATTGGCTGAAAATAAAGTAGTGAAGTTTGACAGGTTTTTTGTTTTTGTTTTTTATCTTCTTTTTTGAGAGAGAATCATCTTAAACTCAGTGTCATCTTCCTTTGGGTAAATAAAGCATTATGTAAATTAATATAATCCTCATAAAATATCACTTCAAGGCAAAACATGAGTAACTGTGTCATTTTCCCAAGCCAAGAGAAGACCTTCAGTCCTCATTATCAAATTAAACTCCATCTAACACAAAAACACACATGTACACACATAGAAAATATGAAACGTGTGACTATAGAATTTGATGATAGTAGCCTAATATGGCTGTCAAAAAGAAATTAAAGAAATTCATGGAGGATATCAAACATTTTTTAAGGTCATCTGGCTGGCCCCTTTGAATCCTGGACAGACCATATAAATAACCATATTTAAACACATTATAGAATAACCACTTATAACCAGATCTGAACATTAAGAATTTGAGATGCTTTGCTACATTGATATAACTCTTCATATCATGTACCTTATATTAAGACTATTAGAAAAAGGGCATAGCTAAAATAAAAATGCCATAATGCCTTTTTGACCTGCTTTCCATAGTTCATGCCCAAAATGCCTGACATTCAGTGGTGGGATTCAGCCGGTTTGCACCCCTTCGGTAGAACCAGTAGCTAATTGTTTGTTGCCCAGAATGGACTTCTGGAAGCAGCATCCACACAGAGAACAGGTTGTTCACATATTTGAATCCCACCACTGCTGACATTCCTATTGTGAAACACAAGATGAGGCATTCAAGAAGTTCTCTATTAGTCATCATTCTTCCCCTTTTCAAGTAGGCATGTGATAGTAGTTTCCCTCCCTCTTCAGATACTACCTTCATTGGACTGAGTTGTTTGCTGAAAACTTCCAAATAAGTTTCACTGTCTTCATCTCATTTTGATTTTTATGACTTTCTGTTAAAACTAAGCTACAGGATTGTGTCATGGATTTGAATAATCTGTTTACAATGTAAATTTAAATATAGTGTGAGAGCCAGATTATTGGGGGGGGGGGTTCCTGCAAGGCAAGAGGGAAACAGGTATTCTCCTGCAAGGCAAGAGGGAAACAGGTATTTTCTTCAAGGCTCAAGTTGTTATAGTTTTATCTTAAATAAAATTTTATTACACTTTTGTAATCTGCTACAAGAAGTTGTTAGCCAGAGTATCAGCTTTTCCTCAGTGTTTTGGGAATACTGGCTAGAAATTCTAGTAATTGGTAAATTGGAGGGCAATAGATAAGAAGAGGGTAGGCTGTAATATTTATTTATTCATTTATTTCTTTGTTAATAAGCTACCTGACCCCAGAATGACCCTGCAACCTATTAGTGAAAGTAATAATAGTGGGAAGCAATCTGAGTCCACACCTTTACCATCGTACTTCCCATGCAGTTTCAAATACAACTCTTAAATTATTATTTATTATTCTTCTGACAAATTGTATTGGTGAAGCAAGGGTATTGAACCAAAAGAAAACCCTTCAGGCAAGCAAAAAGAAATCTTAACTCATTTTCCTACCATGATGAATAATCATTTTCTATGCCTCGTACTCAGAAAAGTGGATACTCCTGTATTTATTATACTTTCCTTCACTTTCATATATGAGAGCTTCTTTGCACAGTAATATACAAATCCATTTTTTTTTTTACATTAGAGTACTCTCTACTTAAAACCTAAAATGATTTCGGCAATCACCCACAGAATTAAGGAGGGGTGGTGAAGGCTGCTGCCTCAAGATTTGTCTCTTTTTTTTACTTTTTCCACCCCTTCTTTCCTCACTTATTGAGCATATACATATCCTTCACACCATTCCCTTTCCAGGTAAACAATATTAGGCCAAAACAGCTAACCAAGTTTAGATCAACACTCAGCCCTTCAAACTTTTTTAGGCTTGTAAATCATCCATGTTTCTACCTTATCTGTAGATACCACTTCATACAACTTCCCTTTGTTTTCACCAAGTCATAAAATGATTTTTAAAAATCACAATTTGAAAAATCCTTGCACAATTCTTGCTGCTTCAGTAATGGATTGATACAGAAACTTAAAGTCATATGTCAACTTTTACAACAAATTATAAACTTTTGCAAAATATATGCATATTTAATTATTTAAAATTTAAATGCACAGCATTAGTTACCGTACATTGAAGAGAACAAAGCTTTAAAAAATCTTTTTATGCAGGAAAAGCTGGCGAATGACATCAGAGGACACAGCCTCTGTCAATCAGTTTCATAAGAGTTCAAACAGAATTTTGTAACAAGTACTTTAACTATGTTACACAACCTGTGTAATTTATGTGAATTATCATTAAGCTTATTTTACCTTATTTTATATGCAAAGGATGTGCAACCTCTATTTATAAAAATCAAGGAGCATAGTGAAAAAATGGGACTAAAATTAAATATAAAGAAGAAGTTCTCCAAGAGTCATCTTGACACAGCTGTGTGTCCGTGTAAACACTGGCAGACATCTGAGGGAAGACATCCTGTATTCAAAAGACTAACATATTCTACCTCAGTATCCTTAATGATGCTTTAAAAAGTTTGTATACCACAGGGTGACAAAGAAAAATGCAAGGTAAAAATGAATACATCTACAGCTTCTGAAATAGATGATTCCCATTTAATGCACATACCTGGTTTGTTTTTACCAGTTGGAGTAAGCCAGTCACACATGACAGAGTAGGTGAGAAAATACACTCCACATGAATGACAATCCCTGCCCAACAGAGCCAAAGATCCTTTGTATAGACCTGCAAGGCCTTCTTCTTTCACTATTGTCCTCAAACAATGCAAAGAACCTTGATACTTAGGTCTGAAGTCAAAGGGATGAGATGATCCTATTAAGGAATGTGGCTCTTTCTGGATCTGTAATCTTACTTTAGCTATTTCTGCAGGTGATATTAGCACAACCTAGAGAATTATAATTAAGAGAGTTAGAATATAGATTAGAGTTAGGATATATATTAGAATCAGATCTTGCTGTCCAGAATCTGGAAGACCTTACCTCAATCTCATGTATCATATCTGATTCTTTGATGAAAATATATTCCTATATTTTCCAATCATGTTTGCATTTGGCATATCTGCTCTGAAAATTTTCTGTAACAGAAAATTACAGAGCAGGGGTGTCAGACTCGCAACTTTTTTGTCACTGCTGGCAATGGGGTGGACATAGTTTCGCTATGATGCATCCGGCCCGCGAGCTAGCAGTTTGACACCCCTGGTCTAGAGCAGTGGTTCTTAACCTGGGCGATATTGCTCCCCAGGGGGCGATTTCATTTTTCAAGGGGGCGATGGAACGAAAAGGGGCGACGTGGGGGCGAAGGAACGAAAAGGGGGCAATATGGGGGCAGTGAAGCGAGAAGTTTTAGGGACACTTTTGAGATTTTTTCATACAGTGAATAGCTGTATATCTGTCATACAAAAACATCAGATGATCGCTATTAGTGGATTGAATTGTGTTTTCAAATGTTCCTCCAGCTAGCTTCAGTACAGAACCCCATACATATATGAATACGCATCACTTATCTTCATGCGCATTGCACAGCAGCCTCTACCCATACAGTGGCACGCCATTGGCCAGAATATGGGAGATATGGGGAAAAGACTGGAAATAAATTATTTGCATCAATATGTCCTGATGACAATTTTAAAGAAAACAAAAAAAGGGTTTGCATAAATTGAAGAATTATTTCCTATGTTGTGATTGAGAGGTTATGTTGGGGGAGGGGGGCGATGACAACTTCCTCATTGGCTCAAGGGGACGATTTGTTCAAAAAGGTTAAGAACCACTGGTCTAGAGGAATAGGCAACATTTTAGTAGAGGGAGGACCTGCTTAATATTTCAGGGTGTGTGTGAGAGGTTCATACTGAAAAAGTTGGATCATATACCTGAGAAAGGCAAGGATTTTTCTGATTCAGTTCAGTTTAAGGTAAGTTAACATATTACATGCGTTTTAGGATTTAGAATGCAGCTTTAGTAGTTTCTCTGCATCTAAACAGTTGGAAACTACAGTGCTCAGAGTGGAAACTCTGAGGCCAAAAAAAGGAACTTGGGGCCACAGATTATCCATCTCACTTCTAAAGATTTGGAGATAAATAGGAGATGCTGATAAATTCTGTTCCCTCAGCACACAGATAGATTCACCCCATATTATTTTATTTTTTTAACCTACCCGGACAGCTCCAGTAATACAACCTGCAAAAGATATATCCACATTTGATGGTTTTCTGTCTGCAGACCCATATCGTAATCTACAGATACCATAAAGGAAGTTTTTATAGATTCCAAATGAAAATGATGAAATCAGTGATGCCATTAAAACCGTCATTGAAATCCCTTTGAAGAAACCTGGCACCTGAATGGAAAAGAAAAATGAGCAAAATACCTTTTTAGAATAAAATAAAAAGCATAAGATTCCTCACAAGCAACAAAGTGAGTATAACCTAATAATTTCAGATTTTGTTGCTAAACAAGGTTAAAAAAAAAGCTCTGGGCACACATAATTATTTTATATTACTCTATTTCTCACTTTTATTATTTTTATAAATAAGACAGCGAACACTCACAATACTCCTTCCTCCTCCTATTTTTCCCACAACAATCTTGTGACACGAGTTGGGCTGATGGGCCCAAGATCATTCAGCTGACTAAATAGAAAGTCACCAAAAACAACCAGGTAAAATATTCCTTTTAGAGCAATGCCACATGTTATCTTCTTTCTACGTGGCTACTTATTATACTGTAAGAAATTACATTTAGTAAATTTGGAGTCCTTCGGACACTTTGGACTACAACTTCTTTAATACCTCATCATTGGCCATCTTGGCTGCAGTTGATTGGAACTGAAGTCTAAAGGTAATAGAAGAAATGTTCCCTACACCTGGCATGTGTTCAGCTGTAGAATGAATTTGCTATTTTTTTTTAATTATTTGGAACTGCAAACAAATCTATAGATTTTCTTGTGAATATTGTCAGGCTTTTTAAGAGGTAATAAAGCAAAAAAAATGGATTCTTTGATCATGATAGTTAGAGGTACTATTCTTAGATACATACCCTTTCAGTTCTATATATATCTCTCATACAATGCCATATTCCACGATACTGTGCTTCTGTCTGAATTCTCACCTACCAAAGCAAAGTAAAGCAATCAAATGTATAAACAGAAGTATCACAATTGGGCATTTTATGAAACATACATTTTGTTTACAAACAACAAGAACAGGAACATTATATTAAAGGTGCAGAACATTTGTTTTTGAAGAAGAAAAGTGGAGATCTATAGCTCAAGCAGTATTTATACAACACACTAAATCAGCCAAGCACATTTTCAATTAGCCATCCACATTGTGGCCTAGCATGTTGTGTAAATCTAGGATAGGGAGGGAAGATTTATAATTCAATGTGATGCATCAATTTATAAACTCAGGGTCATGTGTGGGTCGGTTAACTGCAAGTAACAGAGCTGTAACTGTCTATGATGGTTCTGAAGCACCGATGGGATTAGGAGGGTGAACTTTGGAAATCCTTCTGCTAAATTCTTTAACTCTTTTACCTGAAATAAAAAAAGTGTACACAATGAACTAAGCCATTATATGATTTGTTTGCTTTTGACTTGGTACTCTGTGTGCACCCACTCACGGTAGATTGTAAAATATAGTTTATTAAGCAAAGTATCAGCTAAACAAAGTGTTAACTTGGTCACAAAGAAGAGACCTATACAGTTTGCCATGTGGTAGGGATTATACACAAAATAGTACTTTTAAGAGATTGGCTGACATACCTTTACTGTATCCAATGGATAACCTACTGCAGCACTAACACCACCTGAAACAGATAATTGTATGTGAATTTCTTTGGGAAGTATTATAATTAAATATGTTCAAGCCCACGGAGGAGAGACCACATTCTTCAAGCTACCACATTAAAGCTTCCCAAGCCATCCCATGCATGTTCCATATTTATGTACCAAACTCCTCCCTCTTGCCTTGAAATTATTGTTTCTATATACTTTGTTGATGGGCTATGAAAGTTAAGACTTTCTCCCACCTTAACCCACCATGCAGTTTGTACAACAAAATACAATTAGATGTGAGCATCCCCAAAATGCACTGCAGAATGTGCCTGGGGTTGAATACTCATACAAAAACTAGTGCAGCCAGATTGTGAAGATTATCTTTGTCTTTAATTTATCATGCATTAAGCTTATATTCATAACTCTGAAACCAACTTGGAAAAGGAGAAAAAAAATATACAGTGTGGATGGGAAGAGTTAATGTCCTCAGATTGGAGAAGCAATATGCACACTACCTTGAATTCCTGGAGGAAAGGGAAATCTTAATAAAGAAACCAGAAAATTCTATACATTTTATTAGAGATAAATATCAGTGCTTAACAAATATGAAAAAATGGTGGGAAGGCAGACATCTTGTGGTAATTCATTCAGCAAATTCAAATATTAAAAAAAATTCAAAGATCTCACAATGTTCCTATTCCATTTGTAAAAATAAATTACTAGACATTACTGAGATTTATAACAAAATTCTACACAATATTTCTCATTTTTAACAGCCATCTGGTTAAGAGACATCTTGCCTTATTTGTATCTGTTTAATGATGAAGGCTATTCAGTTGTGCCTATTTCTTATTTGCAAAATATCCATTGGACAGCAATGCTAGTTAGTATGATGCAATGGAATATTGTTGCTACAACTCTGCATTATTCCAGCATTCCTCTTGTCTGGATTTTGTAAAGCTGTTTCCTGTTTAGCTGCTATTCCTTTGCTTTTATTTAGCAGGGTTTTTTTTTTCCTTTTTTCATTTCTCCTACATTTCCATTTTTCTCAGTTGATACTTAATGTACTATGGCTTCTAGCAGCTATGGTATTGAGCCTACTCTATTCCTATTGGCTTATTTTGGGGGGGGTGTTTATGGTCTGTGGTTTACTACTATGTACTATTTTGACATGCCTAGGAATTTGATGAATCATGGGAATATTTTTCCCTTGCTAAATTCTCTGTTCTCCCTATTACCAAGTTTGCTAATAGAAATAGTGATAGAAGACAACCCAAGCATAAAGTATAAATGAAAGAAGGCAGAAAATGAAAAAAAAATATGTCCTGTGTTGGTCTTGATAATATTGTTCTAGATATCAATTGACCTTTTCTGGTATGCCCTGAGTGACAGTAATTATATAGCTTTTAAACAGTCTTAAGGGATTTCCATACTCCAAATATAGCCACCATCAGACACTTCTATGGCCCAAAAATAGTGTCTGGGTCTGAAAAATTTGAGCTGCTGATGCAGCTGGAGAAGAAAAACAAACAAGTCATGCAATCCATGAGTGAATTTTCTATTTCCATTAACAGTTTAAGTAGGTATATATTATGAAACCTCCTCTAAAATAACTTATTGTAGGGGTTGAAGTGCTGGATGTGAACTAGGAAGACTTAGTAGACTTAGTCTCCATTCAACTACTGTGAGCACACTGAGGAAGGTTAGTCAAGAAAGCAGTAGGGAAGGGAGGTGCCTTAATGACATAAGGTAGCATATCAAAATCTTGAAGGCCTATTCAACTTTTTCTATGCCCTTATATGAAACAAAATGAAAGCAGAGTTATTTTGAGTTTCTTTTTCATATTTTCCTCTTTCTTGGGACTCTGTAACCGTTCCCGCAGTTCGTCCCTTATTGTCTCATTCATTCTGTCCCTGTACACAGGATTATTTCTACATCCTTCACAATTGAGGCTCACTGGATAACTTGTCATTGTTTTTCACCCAGCCTGCCTTATCAGCCTAGGGTGGGGATAGAATTAAAGAAGATCTCTCATGTACATTCATGATAAAAAAAATGAGATATAAAGTGTGGCTTTAGGACAGATGCTTTCTTATCATAATATATCATAATATCCTAGATACATGCAACAAGAAACCAATAGAGGGGGAAAAGAAATTATGAATCTAATATTTTCAATTGTCTTTTTTTTATTGAAGAGTTTTATAAAAGTTACAATATAAACCCCAAAACCAACCCACCTTAAACCCCCCTCTCCCTCCCCCACTTCCCAGAGCTGAATACAGGGTTACAATTATAATAATCATAATCTAACTAACATTAACCAACTATATCAATAACCAAGTCCACAGTGCGCTTTAACTCCCCTTTAGCATAAATATAAACAAATTAAAAGTAAACATAATAATAATAAAAACATAAACAAACATACTATCCTAATTATTAAACTAATTATTAAACAATACAATATCTAAATTGTTAAACAATACTAATACTAAAAATAATAATAATATTCCACTATAATAAACTATTAATAATACTCTAAGATTTACTCATAAACTAAGCGGAACTTTTTAGTCCCATATTTATTCTGAATATAATCTATCCATCTTCTCCAAACCGAAATGTATCTTTCTTGTGAATGATCCTTCAAATAAGCAGAAATCTTAGCCATTTCTGCTAAGTTTGACACTTTAAGCGTCCATTCTTCTGTAGTAGGCAAGCAATCCTTCTTCCAATATTGCCCTACCAATAACCTTGCTGCTGTTATCAAATTCAATATCAGATTAGTTTCTTTAGTATCACAATCTGTAATAACACCCAATTGTCTTTTTATATATATACTGTACATAGTTCTAATTCAGGAGAGGGACATCATTCAATACCAGGTGAGTATTCCTTATACTGTAGTCATTTTTATAGTTATCTGTTTGATGATCTCTGCTTGAAGAACTGTCCAATCCATGTCTGACATAAAGAATCATTAGAACAACAAGCATGAATTGTCCATCAAAATTTAGCAAGTGCGTAGTAGATTGAGCACAAAAGTTTACTAGTTATTTAGTATCCCAAAAGTGATTTTTCACAAGGCAACTGGACTTTCTTGTTTTTCTTTGAAGACATTTCACTTCTCATCCAAGAAGCTTCTTCAGCTCTGACTGACTGGATGAGAAGCGAAACGTCTTCAAAGAAAAATAAGGAAGTCCAGTTGCCTTGTGAAAAATCGCCTTTGGGATATAATTATGACCTGGATGACTGAGAATCTTCATAGGCAAGTTATTTAATATATTTCTAGTTAAGATATAGTACTATTTTCCACATGTCTATGAACTACCTATGAGGTTTGGTATCATTAGCACTAACCATACTATCAATCTGTCAATATATGCCTTAAGATTCCTTGTTCATGAGTATGTGGGAACAGAGGGGGGAAGAGAGCCAAATGGTAAATATGACTATGTAATTGTGCAAATGCTGTGACCTACATACTTGCATCAGACATTGGGATGCAAGTACATAAAGGAAGCATTTGTGTGATGATGTGCATATGTCTTCATTTTTGCAATACTGTGGTTTGCTATAGACATTACTGTCCCTGTTCTTTTTTTAAAATGTCCTTCCAAATGTAATTTTAGAAAGAAACCAAACCCACAACTTTATTTTCACTCTGCCAAAATGCAGGATTTCCATAATATTCCTTCTTTTGGGAATAAATACTTCAGTGATGCTTCTAGTGGTTATATTTTTTGCTAGGCCTTCCTCTTTAAGTTTATCCACAGTAATAATGTAATTTCATCTTCTTGTTTCTATCTGTCAAGCAAAATGCATTCATGGAAATAGCTCAAATCATCAGCTGTTCCCAGAGTATATGTTTACTAGCACTTTCCTTGACCAACTGAAAATGGGTGACTTGATACTTGCATCTCCCCAGCTGGCTGTTATTTTGGAAGTATACCTGATTAAGGGTGTCACAGAAATTGGGTGAATAGACTGGGAAAGAAAAAGTGGAAGAGATTGGGTTCCTCTTTCCTGTAAAGCTTTGGTAATGATGCTTGCAATATAGCAGGGGTGTCAAACTGCCAGCCCACGGGCTGGATGCGTCACGCCAAAACTGCACCCATCCCATTGCCAGCAATGGGAAAAGAGTCACAATATATCATGACATGTCACATGACATCACGAGTTTGACACCCGTGCAATATAGAATCATAAACTGAAACCTGAACAGATATCAGTCTGTTAAAACAGATGGGGATGGAGAGAGAGTTAGTTTTACAGTTTGCAGATGCAACTTTTGTTCAAAAATTTAGGAGATTGTGGGGAAGTACAACAGCTGAGGAAATACACAAGCAATACATATTTAATTCTAGCCTGTTCACACTTAGAGGGAATTCCTAATGTCAAATAATCAAAATGTGACATTTAGTGGACCATATAAACCAGTTATTTAAGGATCAAAATAACTGTCCCTCAGTCACATAACCTGAAGGAATAGAACGGTCTAAAATATCAAAAAGATATTTCACAGTATTTTGAAGGAACTCTAACCTGAATTAATAATTACACAAATCAAGCTGCATAGAATAAATTCTTGCAAATTCTCTCATTTCCCTAATTGTATAATTTCTCAACAGGAAAAATGTATTCCTGAATAAGATCATCATAATTATTCTGACTGGTTTTCTACTTCCAAGAACTCAAAGTGTTTTTTACCAGGAACATATTCCTCCTGACCTCCCTTAAGTGTGCTTTTTAATTCTCGACCAATTTCAGACAACAGCTGCTTAATACAAATATTCCTCATTTAGCAATCACAACTGGGATCAGCTATTTGGGCACTAAGGGAAGCAATTGCTAAGTGAAACCATGACTGTGCTTATGAACTTACCTCAGTTTTTTCTTTGTTTTACACACCTTTAAAGGTCATAAATGCTATAGTTGGTCGCAAAATTACTTTTTCATCACTGTCATAACTACAAATGATCACTATGCAAGACAGTTGCTAAATGAGGACTCACTATATGTTATCAAA